AGAGAAATATAAAGAGAATACCCATTTTTATTTGATTTTTCATGAGACTGAGGCTCGAGTGGATACAGATCTGCACTATTCTTTTGCTTCTCCATAGGTATGTACTGCTCTAATTTTTTTTCTAATTAGAACATTGTTCTTTTTTTAACATTTATCTCTTAGCTATAAGATCCCTAGTGATATTTTATATTCACTTTTTGCAAATTTGTTTTCTCCTTTTTGTGCATGAACTTTTTGTGTATATGTAAATTACTCTTCCTTTTTTTTGTACTTTCCCCTCTACTACTCCTAGATATGGTCAATTTCATGTCATTTGGCTTTAAAAATAAGCCTTTTCTAATTGTCTTGATGACTGCGAGATTAAAAAAAAACACTTATTTATATAGATATATTCATCAAGATTTACTTTTGTAATTTTTTTTGGAAAATTGTGTACTTTATGATTATATGCAAGAATTTTTTATTATGGGAATAGCACAAATGTGAAGTGGACATGATTTGCTTCGAGGAAGTAAATTTTTGCTTGCAAAAAATCATATTAGTTGCTTCAGTATATGTATTCAACATGCATCGACATTATATAATTTGATTGTTGTGGGAATTTTAAGTTTCGGGTTGTAATCTTAGTATTTCTTTATGTTTTCCATTGCAAAAGAAAGATGAGATTTACCAGGTTGGAGTTCATCATATGTTAAATTTGATGGTTTTCTGTGATAAAAAAAAATCTGAATTTGTTTTTCTTTTCCTTTTTTCTGGCTTCTTAGTTAGCATTTTTTGAATTTTTGGTATTTTAATCAATTTTCTTGACTAAGTTAGAGTAATAGTGCATACTTGCATCTCTATTGTAGTTCATGTTTGCATATCTTTTGCTAACCATATACAATTTTCGTGTATTTTTTTGGAAACCATGGACTCACATGCGTAGTTCATCATGGGCCAAAACTTCGAGTTACATAAGATATTTTGTGATGCTATTTTTTTACGGCTATTTGTTAATGTATATTCTTATAGTTCAGAATTGTAAGTCTCTTGGTAAAATCTTTTGACTCTTTATATATACTAGGAGAGGAACACCGCACTATGTGCGGTGTGAAGTTACAAGTTTAACATGCCCAGTAGGAAGTTAAAAGGTTAATATGACCAGAGCCCTCATTGGCTTTATTTTCCAACTAAAAATTATTTTTTTATCATTTTCTATATGAGGTAGATAATGAAGCATTTTGTCAACATTTCAATTAAGAAAAGAAATAATACTAATAAAGCTGAAGAGCATAATCACACATAATTGAGATAAGCTCTCCAATTGTATGATGCATCTCATTAGCTGTGAAAAGTAAAATTTAAGATATAAGATACATTCATCCAGAAATATTAACTGCTATATCTAAAAAATGCCTCTCAACTTTTCTTATCTAGCGTCGCGTTCAATTAGCCAATTATAGTGGAACTATGCATTAGTGGTCAAAATTTCAAAAAAAAAAAAAAAATCATCACACAGTTTGATATCTATACTATAGCAAGTGGCTGTTGAAGCATAACTATACATAATATGTCTAGAATGGTATAATACATGCCACTGAATAGTTTGAATCCTCTCTCTCTCTCTCTATCTCATGAACCATTGGCAAATCTAATTAACCATGGCAGCCGAGTCTGCCCCCCCTCCTCCGGGTGGGGGGCTGTCGGCCTCTTCCTCCCCCTTTAGGAAGAAGGCCTTCTCTGCGTTGTTTGAGCCACAACCGACGTCCGAGGTAGTGCAAGTTCAAGCGAGGATGACAACACACCGTGGAGAGCCTGCGGTGGTCTTCAGTGCGGCTGACATAGCAGTGGTTGCTGCTCCATTCCGCTACACTTTGGTTGGGAAGTTCTCTAAGGGGCGGCCGCTGCTGCCTGACCTGAGGAAATTCTTGTCGACTCTTGATTTGAAGGATACGGCGTCTGTGGGATTGTTAGATGCTAGGCATGTATTGCTGAAATTTCAGTGTGAAGCGGATTTCCTTCGCGTTTGGGGACGAAGTTTGTGGTACGTGAATGGATCCCCCATGAGGGTTTTTAAGTGGACATCTAAGTTCCATGTGAACAGAGAGTCTTCCCTTGTTCCCGTCTGGTTTAGATTGCCCAAACTCCCAATTCACTTATTTGCTAAGCCATGTCTATTTCATCTTGTCTCCTGCTTGGGTACGCCGCTATTCGTGGATGCGGCTACGTCTTCGTTTTCGCGACCGAATGTGGCACGGGTATGTGTCGAGGTGGATCTGCTCAAATCGATTCCGTCGAGGGTGTGGGTCGATATGGGAGATGGGGATGGTTTTTGGCAGGTTCTTATCCCTGAGAACCTCCCTAATTATTGCAGCCACTGCTATCGTCAAGGGCATGGCGAGAATCATTGCCGTGTGAAGCACCCTGATTTGCGCTTGCACAAGACGCATGAGAATCTGGTCACAGGGGTGATGGTCGCGAAGGTTCGCTCCTCACCAGCTAACACGCAGCGTACAGAGGATGAGGAGCGAAGGGGGGTGAGTGAAGGAGATGGGGTGAAATCTGGTGCGACACAGAATTCGGGTAAGAGCCATTCCGAGGGGTCAATGCACGTTGACACCCCTACTACTGCTGTGGGAGATGCATCGTGCTTACTGAACCAGCTTGGAGGGTCTACGGTTGTGCTTGTGGAGAAGGGGATAGAGGCTGCTGCTGATGCCATTCTTCACGCTATGGCTGACCGCGTGATTGGCGAACCAGAGGAAGTGCTGGAAGGGACTGCTAATACGGGAGAATTGGCGCTGGTGGAGCTGAACGTGGTAGCAGGCCCAGGCATGATGGAGCCCATAGAGGGGGCTGCTGTGCCAGGGCAAAACTGCAACGAAAAAGCTGTCAAGCATGGAAAAGCAAAGTTAGTTGTTGATGACCAAAGGGAGGGACCATGCGATCACATTGCTGGAAATGATTGTGAGGAGTCCCATATTCTAGTGGAGCAAATATTGGGAGATGGTCAGCAGCAAATGGCCGACAATACTTCAATTAGAAATCAAAATGCTGAAAATTCTAATTGGAATAAAAGTGATGGGTCCCAAGCTTTTGAGAAGCAGAATTTGGGAGACGATAATCATCAAAAGGTCGACACCACTGACCCCGACATTGCCTTACCACTCCTTGTGGTTCCAAGTACAAGTACAAGAACAGAAACGAAAACCACGGTGCCTCAAAATCCAGTGCCAGCTTTCAAAGATGTGTTCGAAGAGGTTAAATGGGAAAAATTACATGGTACACTTCCCCGACCACATCAAATTAGTTTTATTCGTTCAAGTATAACATGCAATAACGACAAAAAAGAAGAAGAAGAAGACGATTCACAACACGACAAACACAAAGATCAAGACCAGAATCTAGTACAACAGCAATTTACCCAAGTGTTTTCAAAGAAAGCGAGGAAACAACTTTCAAAAAAAGGTAAAACAATGCAAACACGTCAAGATCTCAAACCAAATTCCAATGCTCACTCGCAGTCACACAAATGTGGAGCACCCTCGTGTGGATGATTTCTTTGGATTGATCTGTTATGTCTTTACAATTCCTTTATATGTGTGTTTATTTTCCATCATTACATGTTTCTTTTTCTTTAACAGAGATCAGGTTTGGCCCGCCTCTAATTTGATGTATTTTTTTCTCGGTTTTTAATATATTAAGGAATGGTATCCCTTTAAAAAAAAAAAAAAAATAAAAAATAAAAAAAAAAAGTATCAAGCATTCATGACAAAATTCCATGAGCTTCCATTAGCTTCCAAGTTCCAGCTATCTAAATATCAATCAGATTTGCCAAGAAGGAATCATATTGGAATTTAATAACATTTTGTGTAAATAGTACAATGACAATCTTGTTAAATCACAGGTAACGCATCCCTAGTTTTTGCCACACTTCATGGCAAAATTGTAAGGAAATACTAAAGCATGAAATATAAAACAAAGTCGTCAAGAACACATTCCCTACTCCTAAGTTTGAACCACCAATATATTTGAATAATACCTCTTGCCATTCAACTTTTTCTCAAACATTAATGTTGGATATATAAATAAAGAATAGAAAGCCAATAAACAGCAGATGCATTTTGAGCCACCATCTTATTTGGATAAATACCTCCTGCCAGCCGATTTTTTCTCAAACATGAATGCTAGGTATAAATAAAGAACAGAAAATCAAAAACAACATATGCATTCGAGCCTATAAATCATGTAGTTATATTTCATTCATGCCACATTTTCGCCAAGACAACATGAATGAACATAGGACATCAATTTAAGCTGAAAGAAAATTTTCTCTTCTTTCTTAAAAAGCTCAATGACAAAACAAAAAGCTCCAAAAAATCAAGCAAAAGCTACAGAGAAATTTCAATATATTAGTTTGGTATTTGTTAGAGTTTATTTTTTAAATCCTGAAACGCAATTTATTCTCTATGTAATTCTTAGATTTTAATTTTCTTTTTTACATAAAGGTATTAGAAAATTCTAGTTGCCTAATTGAGAAAAGGTGGAGAAGCTAAGGAGTAATCACCACCTATTGATCATTCCCCACTATACACAATTTGGCTAGAAATTTAGGGCGGCAATATTTAAACTTACAATTGGGATGGAGCACATGAACATTTTTTTTCTACATACAAAGATCTTATCTTAAGGTTCTTTTAGCCATTTCAGTTACATCATTCCGACTACTCAAACATGAAAGCATTAGGAGGGACAGGACAGCGAGTAACAAAAGCTCCAATCAGCCAATGTACATCATTTTCTTAGAAATTACTACATCTAAAGAGTTATTCAAAAATGACACCATCAAAGTAGAGAAAAAATTTATAATGATTTCATCAGTAATCATAACTTAAAATGAAATAGGGTGAAAACAAATGCTATTAAACCTGGACTAAAGATCTTAAATGAATGGAGCAGCCAAAGAAGACTTGCAACCTCTTAGTGATGAATTTACTAAAATAGGTAAAATACTAAAGAAACTGACTCTAAATCAAAAGGAAATGCAGTATCTTCACAAAATTTCATACTCCACTTTTTCCAAGAATAGTAAATAGGGTAAAGTGACCAGAAAATTATAGTAAAATGCTAAGAAAAAAATGAAGAGAACACTAAAACATAAAAAACATACCATTAAGGCTAAATGGAAAAATTAGCCTCCTTTTTGCTTTGTTCCTTCATCTAACAAAAATTTAGTATAAATAAATATCAGAAAAATCAAATTTATTAGGAAAAATAAAAGGAAAAATGAAATCATATTAACTTTTCTCTATGGGAAAAAGACAGAGAGTCGATACAATGCTCACCTTGAGAAAAGAATTCGCAAATCTTAACATCTCAAGCTACAACAAACATTTGAAACTTATGAGAGAGCATAAATAATTAATATCTATCATAGGATATGTGAGACCACAGTAAGGAACAAGAAAATGACAATAAAGCATAAGGATTAGCATGAAGTGAAGAAATTGTGTTTCCCAATTAATAACCAAACATTAAGCACTAAACATCTAAAATGCATTTCCAAAATTTCACATCCAGTTCATACCGATGCAATACTTTTTCAAGTTGAATATATTCCTTTTGTAATAAAATCCAAAAGCATAACATGCAAAGGACACAAAGGAAGGGAGAAAGGTGATTTGTTGCTTTTAGCCAATGAAAGATCAGCAAAAAAAATGCCAGAAAAAAAAAACCAAAGGCAAACCTGAAGTGAACATTTTGCCAAAAACTGAACTATTCTTTCTTTCTTCAAGATATGCATTAGTCTTCATTAGTCTTCAAGATATGCAAATCATGTCGATCTAGGTAATAAAAAAACAAAACAAAATATTAACAGATCATGATATGTTTAGCGAGTTAAGGAGACTTGCCTGTTTTTTTTGGAACACCCTTTTATTTCCTCTTTTTAGAGGCCGAGGGAGATTTTTTGTGGCTTCCAAAAGAAAAAAAAAAGAATTATACAGAAAAGTTATGGCAAGCAAAAAAGGAAGAAATTATACATAAAAAAGGGAAGGGGGAAGGGTTGGGTTGGGTGGTACGGGGGGAGGGAGTGTAAGCAAGAGGTCTCGGTTCGAGTCCTCCTGTTTACACTAAAAAAAAAAGAAAAAAAAAAGGGAAAACAAAGGTGAGAAGATAAAACCTGTGAGTAGTCAGATGAAAAAATAGTGAGTGATCTACAAGATCACACAAAAAATTGTGGTCCAAAAAAAAGTAACAATTGATGGTCAAGGATGCAAGTACTAATGCATCAGAAAATGCATGTCAAGGATGTACAAATTAAAGGATAGAATATAGAGAAAAGAGTAAAAGAAAAGCAAAATTGGAATAACTAACCAGTGTGTATGAAGAAGTCCAACACCGCACAACTGAATAATAGCAGAAGCTATCAAAGAAACCACGATCATGTAAAAGATAATAAGAAAGGTGACAAAAAAATAGGAGAGTAAAAAGAGAAGCTGATTCGGTGATAATAATTTTGAAGGGACAGAAAAAAATTAAAATGATCGAACCAGTGCTTGAGAAAAACAGAGAAGCAAGCAAGAAATAAGAAACAAAGCAGTATGACAGCAATTCCGAAATATTTGAAGAATTAGAGAAAAACAAAGAAAAGCGAAGCGTAAAACCAACATGCTCACCAGGAAGCAGCAACAGCAACACCAGCGCAAACTAAAACCAAACCAATAAATTGGGAAAAAGGAAGGTTCAAAATAGCTAAAGAAAATGAAAAACAATACATATGAGGTAGGTCTTTCTGTCTAGCAAAGAAACAAGAGCAATAGAATAGGGAAAAGAAAGCAGTAGATGCACCGTTACCACTGATCATGATGATGATCAGTAGAAAATCTGGTGTGGAAAGCCAGAGAAACTGCATAACCATTGTGCAAATGCAAAACACAAAACAATGTCAATCAATGGGAGCAAAAGAGCTAATGGCTGACAACGGGGAAAAGTTATTTTTTTGCAAATTTACAGACATAACCCCAAGTAAAGGACAAAAAGACTACAAGAGCTTTTGAGTGGAAGCGTAAATGCAGTCAGAAGGGATGGGTAATATAGTGAATAGCTCAGGTACAATCAACCGTCAACAAAAAGAGGTTGGTGACAAGAAGTGTGAAGCGGCGGACGAAGAAATCGAGAAAGTATGCATCAAAACCAAACAAACAAAATACCGGCTACAAACAAATGGTCCATAATTAATTGCAAAGAATTGGTAATTAAGCATGTTAATTTAGAAAAGTAGTTAATTACGAATCAATTAATTAAGGCTACCAAAAGCAAAGAAGAAAAGACTAATGAGAAGCGTTTTCTGAAGCTGGAGCAAGGTAGACATATTAATTAAATAACAATTAATTGCAACAAATTGGTAATTAATTGGTAATTAATTGTGATTTGTTAGGCAACAAAAAAGTAATGTTATTAATGAATTAATTAACAATTAATTGTTAAAAAAGGCAACCAAATGTGATTTGATTGGCATGCAAAAAAAAGAGGTTAAATTTTGGCTAATAACTACACAGAATTGGTAATTAAAAGCGATTTGTTGGGTAAAAAAAATATTAATAATTATAAAAATAGGTAAGTAAATGTGATTTTGTTGGCCAACCCAAAGTAAAAGAGGACATTTTTTAATAAATTTTGAAAAAAAGGTAATTAAATGTGATTTTTTGGACAAGCACAAAAAAGCTCATTTTTTGTTAATAATTGCAAGAAAGTTATTAATTAAACGTGATTTGTTGGGTAAAAAAAGACACTATTAATTAGTTATTAACAATTAACTATAAAAAATTGGTAAGTAAATGCGATTTATTGGGTTAAAAAAATGGAGCCAAAATAATAAATAAATAAATAAATAATAACAATTAATAGCGGGGAATCAATAACAAGCTGCCATTTTGACGTCCAATAACAAGCAGTTCCAATAATTGGCACGTCTTTTTTTATGGCACTTTCAAGCACAAGCACTTCCAATAACAAGTTATGTTAGTATAATTACTGGCAATGCCATTTGGAAGTGCTTGTTATTGAGTTGCCAATTTTTTCCAATAATAAAGCACTTCCAATCCAATAAAAAAAAGAAAAGGAAAAAAACCAAAGGCACGTGGGGCCAGAATTTAGCGGCAGACTTCCAAGCCAGACGTCCAAGCAAAACAAAGAAAAGAAACAATCGGCTGGACGACAAATTCACGCGAGCGAATTCACACGAAGCAGACGACCACCAATCGGCCAATGGAAGCCCGCCACGTCAGCAATCAGAACTCGATTGAAAACCTCCCCATTCCCGCATAGACTAGATATGTTAATAAATCTCAAGTGGATAAATGACCCAAGTACTTTCTGCATTTTTTTCCCTTGGTTATGGTAGCAATCATAAATGATTTTTTGTGTTTATAGCTGGTCAAAGGAAGCCTCAATTAGATTTTAACCATTGGCTTGAAACAGTAAGTAAATTATTAATTTGATTATAGACTTTGACTCATATCTCTCACCGTTTCAACCCCTCCTCCCTCCACTGACAAAGAGTATAAGAAAGTTGAAAGAATTAAATATAAATGCAAGAAAGTTTGAAGAATCTATCTCCAGAATATTCTAGTTCTTTGTTGCCTCTTGATTTTTGTCTCCTTTGATATTTATTTCGGGTATTTTTCCCAAAATTTTATTTTGCTTAACACAAAAAAATTTTGCGTATACTATTCCTAATTTTTTCTCCATACTCTCATTCTGTGTAGACAGGCAGCCAAGAGAATTAGGTTTTTCCAATTGGTCTGAGCTTTTAGCATTATTCATCTTTGGATAGGTAAATAATAATTTTTTTCTTATTTAGAAGAATCTTCTAGGCAAATAAATTTGCTTATATACTATTTATTAGATGTCTCCTTTTTCTTAATAACAAAATAAAAGCTCATTTTTCCTTTAGTTCTTGAATTAAGGTGGCATATGCAGATCTTGGACATCTTCATATTTATTGAAATTTATGAGAAAGGGATTGGGTTTTTGTGATTATAAAGAACTGTAATGGGTGTTTTGAGGTCCTCATCTTCAAAGGCGGCAATTTTAAATGTTAATTTATTATTTTCCATTCTGTGCTACAGGACAAAGTCATGGATAATAGTCTTGACTTTCAGGTCCTTTTATGTGGAAAGATTTAGGATTGCTAGCTGCACAAGCTCAGGTGTGTACCTGTTAACTCTATTTGTTCCTGTCTTTAAATCTAAAAAATGTTCAATATCTAATGCGATCATAGGAATTATATCCTACAAAAGGTCTTTCAGCATGTAAAAATTTCCATAGATAGATTGAATTCCATAATTGAAACTAAAAGTTATTAGTTAATGGCAATATTGACTCTATATTCAACAATATCTGGCATGACAAACAGATGACAGTAATCCTCATAATGTTCTATTGATTGAAATTAAAATCTAATTTGTGCAGTGCATTGAACTTTGACTATTAAAAATTTAGTTCCTATCACAAAGTATAAATATTTCAAACCTTGGTATTAGCTATGATGAAGGTAAGTAAGGTAGTCTCCCTGGCATTGTAAGTTTAATAACTTACATGTTTTCTTATTCTATTGCATCATATTGAACTTTAATTAAAGTTTTGTTTCTTCTACAAGAATGAAAACAAATCTTGTCATGGAATTAAGGAAGCCAGGGTTGGATATTTGCTGTTGGTTAGGTTTCAAAGCCCTAATAAGCAAATATAATTTAAACTTCCATATGCGCCTCAATAAATGTAAATCCTATGATCTGGAAGTGCCTTAAATTTTTTTTTTGGTGGTTGTGGCCCTTCTGGGTTTTATTGCTACAGTGCATTGAACTTTTCCTCTACCTTAATGTATCTTTTGGTTGTCAATGTAGAGTACTAGAATTCCAATCCCGAATTTTCATTGTTGTCCTTTTGTTCAAGTTTAGACACGAGTAGACAAAAAATGGACTACTCTATGGTAGGAAAGGACAAAAGGAAGCGAAACGGAGAGTTGTCAGGCAGGGGTCATAATATAATTTTTTAACCTGGTGCTAGATTGGTACATGGATGTGGTGTTTGTCTAGATATGAGAACATGTTTAATGAATTGGATTTTGTTAGTGATAGAGAAGGTATGCTATGAACTTTGGGTCTAAATTGGAGAATACATAGTTGTTTCTTTCCCTTTTTTTGGTTATTTAGCTTGATTATATGGTGTTGTGTCTCGTTTCTTAGAAGGTGAAACTTATGTTAGTTGTTTTTGGTTGTAAGATGAGGCGAATCATATTCATGCTTAATATATTCGTATCTTCTTGATTTTATGTATTACTCTATGTTTTTAGACTCGGACTGAGTATTGACTCAGCCAAACTGAGGGATTAGGGGTCAATGGATTTGATCGGATTCAACAAGGGTCGAATCGGATGATGTCATAAATATATTAATAATATATAATTAAAATAGCATATAAAATTCCCTTTAAATGGGTGGTTTGTAACTTTAAATACATATATGATGAGTTTGGATTTAGTCCAAAAGAACCGCACTTAAAAAATTTAAAAGTTATAGGTAAAATTGTAACTTAAAAAAATAGAATGGGTTGATTTTATACTTATTAAAATAATATGGGGTCAAATTAAAATTATTTAAAATTTTTTGAAACTACCAAACTTAATATAATGTAAGCCGCCGGCCCCTTCCTTTGCTTTTCACTTTTTCTGATCTCTTCTGCTTCTTTCCATTCACACAACTCTTCTCTTATCCTTCATGCTTTTCATTTTTCCTCCCATTTACCGTAACTCTTTTCTTATTCTTTATCCCTCGCAAATCAAACACGCATGAAAACTCTATTATTCTTTGTTATTTTCCTATTACCCTTCTTTCTCTTCTCTTCCTTTCTTTGCTCTATTCTTTTTTTTTTTTCCTCCTATTCGATTTCAAATATTTCAAGAACTAAGTTGCAGGAAAGGCTTTGAAAATTTGGCAAATCTCCGAGGGGACTACTCTTTTTCCTGAGGTTTTATAGGTCTGGTTCGACTTCATCCACGATCAAGTGCGTTTACCATTTCCATTATTTTATACTACTATGAATATGATTAGAAAGAGAAATTTTCTTTTCCTTTTATTTAAGATCTTGGTGTTGATACGCCATCAGTTTTTTTGGCGAAGGTATTCGCGTATATGTTGGTGTCGGCAAACTCAGCGAGGACGGAGCTAGCACGATCTTTGAAGGATAGGGACACCATGTGTACGGATAGCAATGCATTTTGCATACAACTGGGTTCTTTAAGAACTAAGTTGCAGGAAAGGCTTAGAAAATTTGGCAAATCTCCGAGGGGACTACTCTTTTTCCTGAGGTTTTATAGGTCTGGTTCGACTTCATCCACGATCAAGTGCGTTTACCATTTCCATTATTTTATACTACTATGATTTCTTTTCCTTTTATTTAAGATCTTGGTGTAGATATGCCATCAGTTTTTTGGCGAAGGTATTCGCGTATATGTTGGTGTCGATAAACTCAGCGAGGACGGAGCTGGCACGATCTTTGAAGGATAGGGACACCATGTGTACGGATAGCAATGCATTTTGCATACAACTGGATTCTTTAAGAACTAAGTTGCAGGAAAGGCTTAGAAAATTTGGCAAATCTCCGAGGGGACTACTCTTTTTCCTGAGGTTTTATAGGTCTGGTTCGACTTCATCCACGATCAAGTGCGTTTACCATTTCCATTATTTTATACTACTATGAATATGATTAGAAAGAGAAATCTTCTTTTCCTTTTATTTAAGATCTTGGTGTTGATACGCCATCAGTTTTTTGGCGAAGGTATTCGCGTATATGTTGGTGTCGGCAAACTCAGCAAGGACGGAGCTAGCACGATCTTTGAAGCATAGGGACACCATGTGTACGGATAGCAATGCATTTTGCATACAACTGGGTTCTTTAAGAACTAAGTTGCAGGAAAGGCTTAGAAAATTTGGCAAATCTCCGAGGGGACTACTCTTTTTCCTGAGGTTTTATAGGTCTGGTTCGACTTCATCCACGATCAAGTGCGTTTACCATTTCCATTATTTTATACTACTATGATTTCTTTTCCTTTTATTTAAGATCTTGGTGTAGATATGCCATCAGTTTTTTGGCGAAGGTATTCGCGTATATGTTGGTGTCGATAAACTCAGCGAGGACGGAGCTGGCACGATCTTTGAAGGATAGGGACACCATGTGTACGGATAGCAATGCATTTTGCATACAACTGGGTTCTTTTCGGTTCTAGCGGTTTCCAGTCAAACCTGCATTTTGATTGGGTTTGACTGGTTCTTTGATTGCTGGTTTTTTAAAGAGACTCAGATCGGATGCTTGGCCTGTTCCTGGTTCAACCGATCGGACTGGCCGGTCTGTGCTGAGTCTAAAAACAGTGGTATTACTGAGTATAATGTGCTTTGATGGTTCTGAACAACGATTATTCAAATTTCTCAGCTCTTATTCAATTTACTTGATCGCCTACTCTTTTGTTGCCATCATGATTCAGATGTTACTAAATTTCTTAAATAATCAATTTATTGGTTCTTGTTCCTATCCACCTTTTTTGGTTTCCAAAGATATTGAACTTCCATTAGTTGTTGTTTGCTTGTAAGACAAAGCAGATCATATTCAGACTTAATATATTGGTATCTTCTTGATTTTGCATTTTACTGAGTATAATCTATTTTGATTATTTCTTGACAATGATTTCTCAATTTTCTCAGCTCTTGTTCAATTGTTGTTTGAGCTTACTTGTTTGTTCTCATCATGATTCAAATGTTGCTAAACTTTTTAAATCATCAATTTCTTGATTCTTGTTCCTGTCTACTTGTTTTGATTTCCAAAGAAAATGAACTTATTTCATCTTTTGGTGACTTTAGTTTGAAATTTTAATTATAATTTTGAATGATTTTCAACTAATTGTGGGAAAAAGAGATTAAAGTGGCAAAATTTGTTAGATTTGATGGTGGATGAACAGTTTGGCCACAAATGCTATTCTAAAAGGTGTATTCCTACCAAATACTTGTTATTTAGATGACAACTGTCCCGTATCCCTTCTCTTTCCCCTTTTTCTAAGTTCCTTGGGGCACTGTGATTTCTTTCACTTGTTGGTTCTTGCTAAATTATCAAAACAAATGTAATCTTTTTATGTTGGCAAATCTCAATCATCTCGTCTTTCAAATACCTCTGATTACTCCTTTTTAGGACCCAAATAGACCATAACTAGGGAAAAATCTAAAGTTATGATTATATAGACTCCTCCTAAAGATGGCTTTTGAAAACTTATAACTGGTGGGATTTCAGAAGGTAATCTTAGAGTTGTTGGAGTTATAAGGAATTGAGATGGACTTTGAATCATAGGATCAGTAAAAAACTACGAATAGCTTCTAACCTTCTGGCTGAACTTTTGACATTGAGAGGACTAAAGATAGCTATAGAAGATAATTGCTTCAAACTAAATTTGGAAGTTGATGCTCTTTTTAATCTTTTAAGCTAATTTGATACTACTACTTACAATATGCTATGGTTATATCTGATTGCAGGTATCTCGTCATATTTTTTCAGCAAGTCTCGATCAAAGCATGTATACCGTGGAGCAAATCGGGTGTTAGACCATCTTATTGATATATAGGATGCTAGAAATAGGGATGTCTTTTATTGTAATGTTATTCCACACCATTTTGAATTGTGGCAAGATGACTATTTGGGATTTTATTCTGATTTTGTATCTAGATATGATTGTACAATTTTTTAAAGTTCCTTTTATGCAAAAAAGAAAAAGAAAAAGAAAAACAATGATGTTATATTCTTGTATATATTGTTGACTTAAAACTTATTTTACACTTGAAATATTTTTCATTATGCAATTGTTTGATTTGATTTTTCAGAACTCATTCATCGTGTTAATAATATTCTATGCATGAGATAATGGCTTGTTTATTTTATCATAGGCATGAGAGTATATGCAGTTCTCCCATCTTTATTGTGTTGAGTCCTATATCTTTTGCTATTCTATAACTATTCCTATATTTTACAATTAAATAGACTTTTTTTCTGACACATATTAGTATTACTCACAAAAGATTGAGTTTCCTTCTGAATTTGTTCATGAGCGGCACATTTTGGTGCATAACAAGTCATTACAAACACAGCAAGTTGAAGCAACACAGAGTTACACGGTAATATATTTTTTTGAAACTAATGACATTGCCACTCTGGTTCAATTAGTACCCAAAGCAAAAAAAAAAAAAAAAAGACTCATTGTCGCTTAGTCACCAAGCTAAAATTATGGTTTATTTTCATTGTTTAATACAACTACAAAAACATCACAAGGATTTTGGTGCACCGTTATGTAACTTTTCATACTTAATATCTAATCTAAATTTGAATAATTGGTAATTTGAATTGGGAAACTCCGTTTGGATTAACTGTTTTTGGGGATATTTTTGAAAAATTTTATATGAAAAACTTTTACTATAAATATTTTTTAAAATATTTAATATATTATATGAATGAAATATTTTTTGAATTATTATTATTTGTATATTATTGTAAAATTATATTTGAAAAAATTTTATTATAGAAGAAGCCTTCCAGCGCTCGAGATTTCTCCACGTGTTCATGCCTGGCACGAGAGCTTGTATCCACGTCACAACCACTACCACCTGACCCCACCTCAGATCTTATTCCGCTTAGATATTTCCAACATGTAAATATATTTCTCTACTCATCATTAGAAGGACCAATCAATCAAAACCCAACCGCTCCCCACATAAAATATCTCTGTCTCTCAGTCATTTCAACAAACAACTAACAGACACTCCCCAAGAGAACTTTCTAGAACCACCGGCAACCACCAATGTCCGCCACTGACACCACCGGCTCCACCGCCTGTGCCGTGGAGGCGGAGAAAGATGTCCTCGAAACTCCAGTTCTCGACTCGGAGCGACCGAATTTGTTCCAGCGGATAACGGAGGAGGGTGGCTATGCTTACGTCAGGATGGCGATGTTAGCCTCCGGTGGGGACATGAGGGCGGCGGAGGCGGCGAAGGAGATGGCGTGGGAGCAATTGCACAGCGGGCCGTGGCACTCGGTGGTCCCCGTCTGGAGAGACGCCTATGCAATGGCGTGCCTCCACGTGGCCAAGCTGCATTACGCCGCCGCCGAGTTTAGTCTTGCTCTGAGAGCACTCGATATGGGGCTGATCATGGGTGGTTTGAGCTTGAGAGACGATTTGAATTCTGCTATCAAAACAGCGTCGAAGAGAGCGCGTTTAACAATTGCCACTTCGAAGCTTGGGAGCGAAGATGATGGGAAGGACGATAAGCAGTCGAAACTTTTTGTCAGTGAAGAAGTTGACGTGGCGGAGGTGAGGTTCGTTTTCGTTACTCTAGTATTTTTATTATTAATTTGGTTTTCTTTAATGGAAATAGCGGTATGCTGTGGAGATGTCCAATTGATAAAGCATAGGGTACAATCGTCGTTGATTTGATCGTTAAGGTACCTGTTTTTCTCATAATTGTGCTGTTTAAATACGTGGGCTGTGTTTGTTTATTCGTACGAGTAATGGTAATCGATTATATTTTGTTTCTTATGCTTAATTGTCATTTTCCCAGATTGTTTTTGCATTTTGTATTTATTGTTATTGTTGTATTAACTGACTTGCAAGAATAAGGCATCCATTTATTGGTGGTTACCTTCATGAGTCATGTTCAAAACTAAAGATAAGCAAGTACAGTTTTGGGAAAAAACAATGGCATAGTGGCTAAGGGATCTAAGAATGTTTACGAATGGCATCATGGCTTTACTCGTATTGGATGTTAGATGAGTTTTTGAAGCGTCAACATTCTAAGGAATAACGAGTGCTTAATATGGCTTCTTTTGTTGAGATTGTAACTTGGAAATTTGTAAACGTTTGGTTCATGAATTCTGAGAAGGAATAAATCCAAAGAGAACCATGTGCAAGAAACACTGATTTTTTGCAGGTTTGACACACCTTGTTATTCTTTATCAACTTTGTCATCAACTGGATTGTTGACTGGTACTTTTCTGTAGGCTTTTCCACACATATTGGATTGTTATGACTACAATGATTCTCAAGGACTTTAATGTTCTGGTTGATAGTTAATTCATTCTTGAATTCCAGCTAAACAATTTGATTTGCAAGCATTTCATAAATCAAACTGCTGAAACTTCTGAGAAGCCTGTAATTGGAAGACTGCCTATTTGTACTGAGGATGGCTTGAAGGAAAATTTTAAGAAACTTTAGAGTGATACTGAAATCTGTCAAGTTAATATATTAAAGAACCTGCTAGAATGAAGCAGTCTAGTTTTTTGCAATTTCGACATGCAAATGAAACTCATTGTTTTGGGCAATTCTATCCTTGATGTCTATGCATCTTCTGCATTTAAAGCCATGTGCTTGTTTGCAGTCAGCTTGGCCGCACGGTACTCATTGATCTTGTTGTGTTTGTTGTAACAAAAAATGAAATCCCTGTTATAGTGATAAAGTGCAAAATGTTGGATGCATAATTTTGGTTTTTGAAACCAAAAGAAGCCAAGGAGGCC